TAATATATCTCCCATTCAATGTAATTCTCAGGGATCCAAAACAATCTCAATGCTTGTTCTCATGTTATCCACTTTCATGGAAATTTTACAATGTTTAATAATATGTGAACGAAATTAACTTCAACCCATTATTTTTTAAATCTTTCCAATCCATTCCATAGTTCGAACATCCAAGAACACAACATATTAAACAAAACAAAAAGTAGTCTTATCAAATAAACAATCGAAAAATAACATGTATATGTCAATTGCCAACCAGGTGCTATGAAATTGCATTAGCCCTAGTCAATTGCCAACCAGGTGCATGAAATTGCAGTACCCCTAGACAATTGCCAACCAGGTGCAATGAAATTGCATTACCCCTAGGCAATTGCATTTTCGTGCTATACTATATCACCTTCTACATATCCAATATAATTATGAGGCATCACGAAACACTTTTAATGGTTGTTCTTAGCCTACTGACTATAATGACTATTTTACAATTTGTAATAAGGTTACCCACCCACAAAAATGAAATTCATATTACGTTTTCAAAAATAAACTTAAAGAGGTGAGGTTAGGGTTTAGCAAAACACAAGTCATATTACGCAATACTAATTTTACAAAAGGTTAGGGTTTATCAAGAGATAAAATGAGATTCTTCAATACTACCCTTACAAAACTTCTAACTAAGTGCTTTAAACCTTAAGTAAATAGCTACCAATCAATGGAGGTATCTTCACCACATAATATATGTCAACTCATACTCAATTGCCAAATCATAGAAACAAATTGCATGAACCCAATATAATTCCATTTTAGTCATTCATACCGAATAAACTAAAATAATAACATGGCTGCTCATATTCCAATTATCAAACGGACGTTTATTGAACCATATATGAAATTGCATTCTCGCCAATCATATCAAACAAACTCAATTGGATAGTAATATGCCAACACATATGCCAATTGACAAACAGAAAGCTATGAATTGCATGACCCATATGCAATTGTATATTCGTGCTCCAATAAATCATCTTCTATTCATCCAACGAAATTCTTGTGCATAATTTTACACTGCTTGTTCTCTGTATAAAAGATAAATTACGATGCAACTTCCATTCAAATTTTACAATTTTAAATAAGGTTACCCACCCACACAAATTCAATTCAAATTTGGTAGAAAACTTAGGTGAGATTAAGGTTTACCCCTAAACAGAAATTAACCTAAAAATTCTTGAGATTTAATATGCCAACACATATGCCAATTGACAAACAGAAAGCTTTGAATTGCATGACCCCTATGCAATTGTATATTCGTGCTCCAATAAATCATCTTCTATACATCCAACGAAATTCTTGTGCATAATTTTACACTCCTTGTTCTTTGTATAAAAGATAAATTAAGATGCAACTTCCATTCAAATTTTACAATTTTAAATAAGGTTACCCACCCACACAAATTCAATTCAAATTTGGTAGAAAACTTAGGTGAGATTAAGGTTTACCCCTAAACAGAAATTAACCTACAAATTCTTGAGATTAGTTAGGGCTTAGCAAGTGAGAGATGAGATTAAGGTTTACCCATAAACATAATGAACTTAAAAAGAGGTGAGGTTAGTTAGGGCTTAGCAAGAGATAACTGAGATTGCTCAATACTAACCTTAAAACGCTTCAAATCAACTGCTACCCAATGTTTTCAACCTTAGGAGTCCACTGATCACTGGAGGAGATACATGGAGGAGATCGCCATATGCAGGAGAGATTTTTTGGTTTTGAAGTTCAGAACAAGTTTGAGGAAAAGCGAGCTAAAATATCACAGAAGAAACATATTACCTCCACCTGTTATAGCAGGTTTTCTTTTTATTTTTTTACAAATTAATTGGCATGTGCACTGCACATGCTTCATAAAAACTATAACACCAAGTTTTTATTGGCTTTGGCGTCAACGCGAATACCATTTATTGGCTTTGGCGTCAAGACTGTTAGCGTCATGGTCTTTAGCCGTCATGACAAATTCAACGTTTCATGTGTAACACGGTTTCCAATCGTAGGTTATAAGTAAGACTTATCTTCAACTCTAAAGTCGTTCTAAATACGAACCACACAATTCGACAGCTATAGGCTATAAGTCCATGCAACCACACTTGGGTTGGGTGTTAGATTAGTCTCAAAAGGCGAGATGGGAATATTTTCAAACAAGATTTCTAGGGAGGAGCTCCACCCTGGAGATCACATCTATGCTTATAGAAGCCGGCATGCATACTCCCACCATGGTATATATATATATATATATATATATATAGTTTAGTTGAGTGATTTATCAAATAAGCTTATTTGAGTGATGCTTTTGTAGAGCCCACCATACATTGTATTTCATTAATTCAAACTGTCTATTTTGTAGATATTCATTCAAGGATCATTTTTGCAAAAAATCATTTGAATTCGATATCATTTGACCACTCAATTAAATTATTGAAATTTTAGTACTTTCTTGAAGCATCGTGTTCATTGATTTTGTATAACACAATTAGATGTCTATACGGTTTCCGATTTGTCTAATTTTTTGCAAGGATGATATACGGATGTAGACTTAAAAAAATAGATGGTTTGGATCATTGAAAAAAAAATCGTAAGGGACCCTAAATGGTGTCCCTCAATAAAATGAGACTATATATATATATATGTGTTTGTTTTGTATGGATGGTGCCATGCATGCACGCAGGTATATTTGTTGGGAACGATAGGGTGATTCATTTCACTTCAACAGATGAACCAAAAAGTAGTAGCTCATCGACAGTGCCTCCATGTGGAAACTGCGGGCATGACCCAAACACAAAACGGGGAGTGCTGAGAACCTGCATCGATTGCTTCCTAAAAGACCACAACCTGCTTCGCTTCGAATACGAGGTCTCTCCACTACACTTCATATTCAAACAAAAAGGAACTTGCAGTACTAAGCGTTGCTATTCAAACGATGAAATTGTATGTCGTGCCACCGAGATTTTCAACAAAGATAAGGTTCATGGGAAGGGGTTTGGTGACTACGACTTGTTTAAAAACAACTGCGAAAACTTTGCCAGTTACTGCAAAAGAGGCACGCCCGTGAGCGAGCAGGCTCGCAAGGCAATGGGTATTGCAGATGCATCCTTGGGCACCAATACTCCATCCACATCTACTTCCAAGACTGCTATGTTTCTTTCTATTTTTGCTTCCAAGTCGTCTTAATGATTCTCTATGTTGCGTTAATTGATAAACGTAACATGAGAATTGTTGTTTGATTGCGTGCTCAAAATAATTTCTTGTATTTTCTATGCAATTAATTAATTACAATTGTACTTTTGCACTTTATGTTTTGAAAGCATCCTAGGTATGGTATAGTATAATGTCATTAAGGGGGAATAAATTGTAATGAAAAGATTTTAATGTAATGGATTTTAGCTGGATTTGTAATTTTAAGATTTTACTTATGATTTTAATAGATTGTAATTATATGATTTTACTTATGATTTTAACTCACTTAGGGCTCGTTCGGTACGTCGGACTATACTACCTAATTTCTGTTGGATAGTATTAATCTGTTTCGAAGAGTACTGACTGTTTATTCATAATATTATAAGGTGTTTGGTACTCCTCCGGATAAATAGTGTGACTAAGTTATATTGTGTTTGGTGATGTTCTGGATAACCTCATATCAGACTAGTTTTTTACAAAAAATTCTTTTATAATTTAAGTGGAAATATAGACAATATAATTTGTATATATATATATATAATCAAGAAAAAAAGAGAATATATTGAAGCCCAACAAAAGAAGGCAAGAAGAGAATCAACAGCCAACAGTATCAACACGGAAATAACCAGAAAACAAACCAACAAAGCACCAAAAGTAGAAAAAAAAAATACAACAAGAAAAACAGTCGCATGTATTGTTCTAATCGCTGACTTGGGATGATAATTTGATTATTGAGTTGGATACCTGGAGAAGATGAAATACAAAAAGAAAAAAACGCAAGAAAAACTTAGCAATATGTATTGAGTTGGATACACAACCGCATGATGATTATTTGATTATTTGATTATTGAGTTGGATACACAGGCGTATGTATTGTTCGAATACAACACGAAAAAAAAGTCAAAAACTAAAAATTCGTAACCTAATTTCCACAAAGATTTAATAAAAGAGAAAATATATAAAGAAAGAGAAGATGAAGAAAGAAGAAGAGAGAACACATTGGGGAGAGAGAGAGAGAGAGAGAGAGAGAGAGAGAGAGAGAGAGAGAGATGGATACCTAGAGAGAAGTGAAGTGTCTGCCGCGCAAATCTCACGGCCTGGAGTTCCGGGCCGAGGGGATATGCGTTGACACGTGGTTTTCTGCTTTTGGGTGCGGTGCGGTTGTGCGCGGGCATGCCAGCACGGTCTACCGTGCGTCGAGATGTTGATGAGTGTAGGATGGATAAGTGGTGCGCCTGTTTGAACTCGTCTTCTAATCAAACGATTGTAGCTGAGAGAGGAACTAGTCTCGGCTGTTAGGTTCATGGCCTGAACTACAAGGCCGTTGAGTGATGGTGTTGGTGGTGGGTTTTGGGCGGTGCTCCGGCGCGTCGCTCAGGGAGCGACGATCGTATTATATATGGGGTGAGGGAACGAACAACAGAAATGGTGCTCCGGTGCCTTGAAAATCAAGGGTCGTATGATATATTGATGAATGAATTTTCCTTACAGTCTAACACTACTCCTAGGAAAGCAAGTAAAGATATTGAAAGTGCATTACAAGAAAAAATAAGTTGCTCCGTGGGAGGCTTTGGTTTGGTGTTTGAACCCTTTGAATGTAGCTTGAGCCTTGTATTTATAGG